CCTGACCGCGGGGGGACGGGACGGGACGGGGCCGGGCTCGGCGCGTCCTGGGCTCCGCGGCCGGGGGGCTGCGTTGGCCGGCTGAGGGCGGGGCGGGTGCTCTGCTCGTGCTCCTCTGAGCAGCGAAACTGGAGGGAAAAGTGTGACTTGGGACTTCGGCAGAAACTCGGAGTAACCTGGTTGCTTCTTTTTCCAGGTATTGATTTTAAAATTAGAACTATAGAGCTAGATGGCAAGAGAATTAAACTGCAGATCTGGTAAGGCTTTTCTTCTGGGGTTCATGCCTGGTACTGGGTGTCCGCGCGCTGCAGGGTGGTGACCTTAGCGTTAAGCTTTTATTCCAGTTGTGCTCTTCGGCAGTTTGCATCTTAAAAAGGAAAAGATCGGTTTAGTTTTCATGTCTAAAGACTGTTTTAATGACGTTTAATTAAGGCTTTAGGTGGCTTTGACGCGAGCGTGGTGGCGCGGGTGGTTCGCGTGAGCCCCCGTGTTCTGTCTGTTCCAGGGACACCGCGGGGCAGGAGCGATTCCGAACCATCACAACCGCCTACTACAGGGGAGCCATGGTAGGAGCTAAACCCCACCCGGGCCCTCACATCAGCCGGGTTTAATGTGGCACACGCACAACTGCCGGCGCGTAAACCCGGCCTAGCTTGGTATTTACGGTCGCGCTCCTGGTGTGAGCGGTGCTGGGGCCATCTGGCAGCTCCTGGAGGCCCCTTTCCCCCTTTCCGGGCCTTGCTCTCACACACCTGAGCGAGCAGGGCGAGAACTGCTGTGAAATGTTAACGTGGAACTGTGAACCAGCTGGTTTAAAAATAGTCTTTGTTAAGTTGCTCCTTTCCGCCGCGGACAAGCCTTTTAATACCTGCTTAAACTGATGGAAACTGAAACAAATCTGTCTCCTTCTTAATCTTTAGGGCATTATGTTGGTCTATGACATCACCAATGAAAAATCTTTCGAAAATATTCGGAACTGGGTCAGGAATATTGAAGAGGTAATTTCTCTGTTTATTAGAGATGCTATTCCTCCAAAGTCAGTCAGAACTTGAATTGCATTGGAAGTGTTCCGTTTGAATCCATGTGCTGAAGGGTGCTTGGAGAATAAATGGAATGAAAATCAGTCTGACCTTTGGGAGTGTCTGGGCGAGCAGCAGTTCCCTGTGCTGGCTTCCAGGAGGCAGCTGGGGGGCTGCAGCCCGACCAGTGACGAGGGCACCTAAAAGTTGATGTTCTCCCGTCACAACGAATGGTCCTGGAGCTGTCGCTGTGCAGCAGGTGCCAGGCTGAGGGCTCTGAGGGAGCCCGTAAGTCTACAGAAGATGCTCAGCACCAGCATCTTTGCTTTAAGTACTTTGATGTCCCTTGTTTTAAGTACTTGTCTTTTTGGTGATGTTTTCCTACAAAAAAACAAGCCTGAGTCTTTGGTCTGTTTCTATCTCAGCACGCCTCTCCGGATGTTGAAAAAATGATCCTTGGGAACAAGTGTGATGCAAATGACAAACGGCAAGTTTCTAGAGAGCAAGGGGAGAAGGTGAGTGCTGTGGCTTTGATGGATTTCAACTTTGATTTTGCAGAGTATTTAAGCTGTGTCTGTCAGGGTCCGGGTGCTGCTTTGATGGTATTTCTGACTGGAACTATTGCACGTTTCTCGGGCTGTAGTTGCAGGACGTTTCCCCATTGGTAAAAAAGATGAGTTTGTATTAGAAATTCCTGTCGATGACCTGGTCAAGATGTGTTAGGGGCACAGCAACGAGCTGGATTTTTTCTTATCAAGGGGAAGGAAAATTGTGTTAAAGGGTTTGACATTTAGGAAATGTCTCAGCGGCTTTCAGCCAAAAAGAGACGAGGTAGATGGAATTGTCTTTTCTGGCGTTAGCTGTCACCCAGCCAAGGTAGAGAAGGTGCTTCTGCACGCTGCAGGTGTTACAAGCCCGATGTCTAAGCGAGAAAAAAAATTAAAAGGCAAAGGAACAGCTGAAAATGTGTGCGGAGTGTAAAACAGGAAAAGAAAACCAGCACGAATAGATGCTAATGAGAATGAGATTTAGTTCCTGATTTCTGTAAATTGTTCTGCTTGAGTAAATCCCCGCGTCGCGGTGAATCGCGCCGCAGGGGCAGGGCCTGCGCGGTTGGTCGGATAATTGGGGGAACAGCTCTAAATACAGCTAACGTGAAACCTGCTTTTGTTCAGCTTGCTGCAAGTTTTGGAATTAAATTTATGGAGACCAGTGCAAAAGCAAATATAAACATAGAGAATGTGAGTACTGTGACCTTTCTCTTGTATTTATTATCTGATTTGTGCAGTAAGAGCACTTGCCTATCCCGGTGGGTTGCAAACAGCTGTTGGATACTGGGGATGGGTTGGGATGTTCACATTACTGAGTCCCATGAAGCCGTTGTCTAACCAACGTTATGCTAATTTATTTAAATTGAGTGCGGAGCTTCGGGCGTAGCAGAGGGTGTTACAGCAGACTGTAACAGAAACTCGGTGCGTGGCGTTTGATAACGGGTTTGCTAAAGGGGGGCGTTTCCCGCCCTGTAATCCCGAGCTGGGCCCGGCCACGGGTGGTTTCCAGGCTCAGAAAGAAGGAAGTGGAGTGAGAAAAGGAGCATTAAAACCTGGAGGGAGGGAAAATCCCTGAAAACTTGTCATACGTCAGGAGTTCAGTATATGCAGGAACTCAGGAATTTTTGTTTTGCTAAACGGAAGTGTTAGAATATGGTTTATCTACTGTGTAACACTTTAACTGTTCTACTTGTCACAGGCATTTTTCACTCTTGCAAGAGATATCAAAGCAAAAATGGACAAGAAGTTGGTGAGTCACTTTTATTTCATCCACACTGTATTTAAATGAAAAAAAACCCCAAAACCAAACAAAAAAAAACCTCACAACCAACCAAAAGCCAAATGGCAAGTGCTGTTTCACAGCGTATCAAAAATATTTTGTGGTCTTTTTCACAGGGGATGCACTGAAAGTTATAGAAATTAGTTTTTAGTTTTGTCAAGCAACGCTCTGACCTTGGCTTATAAACAGTTGTTGCTGCATTTCAGGAATTAGCTGCAGTGGTTGAGGTTTTGTAAATAAAATGATCTTATATTTGTTTTATTGAAAGTCAAGTGAGTGGTATTTAATTAATTCATATTAATGGTAGTTCTTGCTCTTGTGGTCTGAAAAATGGAGTAATAAATTAGACCTGTGTTAGACATGTCATAAATTAGACACTTCATATTTCATACTTCAAACTAATATGTTTAAAAATAGGTAAAGAACTCATTTTTTGGATAACTTTTTTGCAAAAACATCCCGAGAAATGATTGGGTTGTCTTTTGTACAAATAAACATCTATCAGTGTTGGTTTGTTCCTTAATGAAATGAAGCTACAGAAGATTCCCTCTGCTCTTACTGAGCGTTGTGCCTCCGGGTGACCAGACTTGTGCTGCACGTGGGTCTTTGCTGGCGATTCCGAAGTGTTTCAGCAAGAGCCAAACATGAGCTGTAATTTTTTTTTTTTTTTTTTTAATCTCAGCAGTCTTTGAGTTTATAGAAAGAAGGAGGGTTGCAGTGCCTGTTGGTCGGAGCCAAAAGCAGCAGCTGCAGTTCTCTGACTTGTAGTGGCTGATGTGAGGCTCAGATAAAGGAGCAAGGGCCCTGTTCTCGTGGCTGGCTCTGTGCGTGGCAGGCTGGATTCCCCAGGCTGCAGAGATGAAGTGCAGATGCTAGAAGCTGTTAAGTATAAATAAGTAACTTTATATTCTTTGCATCTTCAGGAAGGCAATAGCCCGCAAGGCAGCAACCAGGGAGTCAAAATCACACCAGACCAGCAAAAGAAAAGCAGCTTTTTCCGATGTGTTCTTCTGTGAGGGACACGGCCTTAATCTGAGCATCTGCTCAACTGAACTGGACTGTGCCTGTTCTGAGTGAGATTTCCTCTGTCTGTGGACTGAGCATTTTCAACATACCTTGTCACTTTGTGACCATCTGAATAAGAAAGCGTTTATTTTAGAATTGTCGGACTCTTCAATTTTGGAGACGAAACAAGTTTATTTTTGTCAGATTGCCACTGGGCACGTGCGTTGTTTAGCAGAGGGAGTACAGATCAGATGTGACCTGTGACAGAGCACCTTTGCTGACAGGCTTCGATCTTTTTGTTCATATCCGTAATGTATCCAAATTAGAAAGATTAAGTTATGATCCAAATAAGAAACTGAAATGCCAATATTAATAAAGTACAGGTATGTGTACATGTTACATGTGCATATCCATGTCTGTAGATGCAAACAGGACATCAGATAAATGCACTTAGGTAGGCAGTACAGGCTTGTACCTTTTCAGAAGGTAGAAGGACGCTTTCTGCATCTCCACCTCTTTGCTACCATGAGAAAATCCTCTATCTGCCTGTAGTTGTGTTGTTCTAGACAATCCACAAGTACAATTGAAGTTTAAAAAAAAAAAATCCTCCTCAAAGGAATCTCTATTTTTCTAAAAAACCAAAGTGTGTTGTAAATACAATGGATCCTTACCATCAGGAATTGCTTTATCCATTGTTAGGCTCGACTGGGCAAGTACTCCAGACCTTTAGGCACGTTCAACAGGAGGTGACAGCAAGGGTGAGGCCCTTGCACATGGTCTACTCTTAAAAAAGCAGCCGTGGGTCAGGTAGGGGCACTTACTCAAAATCTGTAACCTTACAATGGGTGGCTTTTCCTTCTCCAGTTGAGAACGACTCCAGATCCGTCATGACATAGTGGCTAGTTTGAAATTGTGACAAGAAAATGTATTGCACTGCTTCCAGTCGTGTGTTCTCATGCACACTTGCTCACATATGCAAATAAATATTGCACATATGAACACTTTTCTGAAAACAAACTTTTTAAAATGGAGATTTGCCTCGCTGCTCTGTTATCGGTCATTTCAGATTTCAAGCAGCAAGAAATCTGTTAATAGCCGTGCATCAATGCAGACGATGCTTAGTCCTCAGTGGAAATATTCTGTGTATTTATTCCTATAAACACAGTCTATTACATTCCAATGTATAAAATGTAACGGCCAAGTAGAGCTCCTAGGTAGCTAATTCCTCTCAGTTTAGAGGCTGTAAGCCTGACTCTTCATTAGACTGACAAAAGGAGCCAGTAAGAGCCAGCTACTTCAGAGTCTGCTGTCGAGTGATTGGAATTACAGTGTATTTAATTCAGATGAACATATCAGCTGTGTCCTGCAACTCACTGGAATTGTTAACATGCTTTGTTTACATTGACAACTGCACTTAAGGGTAAAATTAAAGCTGATTTTAAAGTTAATGAATTTACTCACCAGTTTTGTTTTCTTCAAGATTGTGGTATTATGTTCTGGCCTCAAAGTAGCACTTACAAGTGTTACTGTAGTTAAAGCTCTATCAGAATCATAATTAAACTTTATACATCTGCAGTGTGCAGTTGGGCTCAACAGGAATATTGCCTGTTTTTCTAAAATGGAAAAAGGAAATTTTACTGTATGTTACTGGTTTATAAAAATGCATTTTATATGCTACCGATTTTTTTTTTTTTTTAATAGCTAGCAGATTACAGTGAGCTCTGTTCGTGATTAAAATCGTACATAAAACTTTCCTCTAACCAGAACCTTATGGTGGGGTGTTTTTGTTTACTTGTGGCTTTTTAGTGTAAGGACTTGGTGAACGTGCACCATAGTGGATTACACACAGATGTATTTGTAGGATAAAATCATGTTCAGCTACTGAAGAGCCTTCTGGTCAGTATGTGTTAGTCAGGGGGTGGTTAACACAGAGCCATAGGGGCCAAGCACTGCTCTCCCCTGAGATAAGGGTGCTTGGAAAGAAAGATTTTGCGTGTGCTTCATGGAATTACTGAGGCGGAATTGGGGAAGTGATTAAGGCATGGTCTGTTGTTTTCTTACACAAAACTGATCTGTTTGATGGTTTGTTTCTGGCTTAGTAGTAAACGTGCGTTGTCTCACATCCATCCTTCTACTTTAACGCAGGCAGATGTTTCAGTCAGGCTTATTTTTCAAAGTGACTGGAAAAAGAAGTGATTGGTCTGACTGGATAGCACAGGCTGTCCAGCACGATGCTGGGTACGGCCTGGTGACAGCATCTAAGTTTATAACTCGAAGTGAGAAATCAAACCATAGTAATTTACAAGTGGATAAAACTTGAAGGATGGAAGTGTGATTTTTTCACTTCTCATTTTCTCTTAAGTTACTCTTTTGCATTCAGAGCTTTGTACGTGAATGCCTTTTGTTTAAACTTATGCTGGTTGTTGCACATGTTTATGTACCTAATTTATAGCGTGATTTCCTTTTACTAAGTGATTTACTCAATGAACAACTACGTTATTGCCCGATCTCAGGAAGTTTCATACAGTTACTGTGACTACAGTCATCACTGTACTTCTAGGGTATGCAGACTCTACACAGAAATTAAATCAGTGTAAGCAATATGAAACCTAAAATGCAAATGCAAGCCAGGAAAAGGTTAAAGACACTGCAGTTGCAGGTATGCTTGGCTGTGTGTCGCTAAATAGGGACATCAGATCTTGGAGAAGTACACGATGTAGTTAATGCTTCCATCCCATAATTAAATTACTGTGGTTGTTAACTAGGAGTGTTAAGGAGAACACAATGATCAAAAGAGGTCCTGCCTAAATACATACAGTAACATATATCTAATCTTTCATGAACTAAGGAGAAAAAAAATCTGAAATTGGATACAAAATTTGTTAAACTGAGTATAAGTTGATCCAAAGAACCTAACTATGTGCTTACTACATATTCTCAGTGTCTAAATGCCACTAAAACTTCAGGCAATCGATGAACACTTGGTTTGTAGAGAAACCAACCCATTTTTGAGCATGTTCTCAAATTCCCTTACTTTAATGAGTAACATAGAATTCTCTGACCTTATTTTTGAGGCTGGTTGCAATATTTCAGGCAGTCTTCTCCCTTTCAGGTGCAGACCTGTCAGTAGCTCATCTGTCAGTGCGTGGTGGAACTGGTGGTGCACCGCTTTGCCATTTTAACCCTTGTGTTATCCAGGTCCTGTGCTGACAGGCACATCTAATGTTCCTTGACATCGGAGCCTTATGCCAGCGCCAGACTTTCAGCCTCAGAGTTATAAATCCTATGGATTATTGTAAATCTCTTTAATGCTGCTGAAAACTATTTGGTCTCTCTTTTCACGTGAGATGCTGATCGTCTCCCTGACAATATTGTTGTGGTGGCGGTGTCTTTGGCTGGTGATCATGCTCAAAAGCTGCCATGATTTCTTGTTCTCTTGGACTTGAAATGGTTGGTGTTTATGCTGGAGAGGAGATGGACAAACAGCTGCGTAGAGGATGGTCTCCATTTGTACTAGAAGTTCGTAGGGGCCGGGAAAGAATGATGACTAACTTCTGTCTTCATTTATAGATTAAACAAAGATCTGTTCAATTGAACGTTAATGGTAACGTGCGGTCTGATTATTTCAGGCTGCCTTATTCTTTGACCCATCTCTTTCACTGATCATTGGAGTTTTTGTTTCTGTAGGTAATACAAGTTTAGCAGGCTGGTCTCTGGCCTTTCTGCAGGAATCGTATGCTCTACGTTGAGCGTGAGTTGGGACTTACAACTTTGTTTTGAAGGGAACTTAATGCATCCCAATATTTTTAAAAATAACTGTAAATTGTGTTTTTAGAATGACCACTTTTGGCTGCCACCCTTCCCACGTTACGACTGCTTTCTTAAATACTTCTCATTGATTTTTCATGTTTGTATTAAAACTGTTGTTTATTACAGTACGTATGTTTTTACTCTGTTGTACAGGACCTTGAGCACTGCATAAATAAACTTCTTATGAAAAGAGAATTTTACAGACTTAGTTTGTCAGTTCATCGTTCGTGCCTATAGATTCTTGTGTGGAAAATAGGGTATTTCTAAAAATGGAAAAGAGGGACAGGAGCCCGGGGTAAGTTCTTTTGTCCTTTGAAGTGTGCTGACTGTTTGTTACACGTTGCAAAAGGGAGGGCTCTTCTCTGTATTCCTCTGAAACCTGTAACTGTCTTCTGTGACCCACTGGGAGAACATTGATTCACTGGACTCTTCAAAGCTGATCAGAGGAGTTGTTTACACAATTTTGATTAGCCATAATGTTTTTGAAACTTATTTTCAAGAGGGTTTTATTAGTTAAGGTATTTTCTTAGGAGTTTTTTAGAAGCTATAATTTTATACAATTTCTTTTGCTACCTGGTGGTATCTGAACTTTAAAAAAATCATTTCCCATCTTACTGTCTAGGCCAGATTTACCCGGGGGGGGGATGATAGACTTTTGTTAAAATACAGAGAAAACTTGATGAAGAGCTTAATGACTTGTTCCTTTTAAAGACGTAAACAAGAGTTCTCTGACTAGTTCAGTTACCAGAATTGTCCTCTTTGTTCCTCTCATTTTGCTGTCTCAGGTGTTGGAGGTTCAAGAAGCACTTCTGTCTGCACGTTTCACTAGACTCAGATCCGAATGTGAAATGTGCTGTTAAAAAGAGGAAGTAATGATCACTTAATGTATCTCTTCTCTATTCAAAGGATTCACTTTAAGCCTAGGACTGTACAATAAATTGGAAACTATTTTGCAAAGCGCTTGCAAAGAATAGGTGCATTAAGTAAGCACAAGATTTGGAGTGCTGCTTTGTGTAAGAGGCATTGGAAACCACATTAAGACTGTTCGGCATTGAGGGAGCTAATCTCAGTTTCTTATCAATGAGCCAAAGTGCTAATGTTAACTTTTGAAGTTACTGGAACTTGTAAAAAGTACGTGGGAGGCTCAAAACCAAGTCAAGAAGCATCTGTTTTCTCAGTCTTGGCAGTGGGCAGCTCTGCTAGAAACCGTCAGGGAAGAGTGATGATCTGAGGAGACGTGAGACTTCAGAGTCTTCTGACAGAAAAACTAAGGATAATTTTGTGTTAGAAATTAAAAGCAAACATTACCTGAGGAAATCTGGAGCTCGTATTATCATATGCTGAAAGTCTTCCAAAGACAGCTTGCCATCGTTGTCCACATCAGCTTCATAAATCACCTTTTCACATACAAGCCTAACTTCTTCTGGGGTAAGTTCATTTCGGGTTAACTTGTTAACAGTTTTCTCTAGATCTGATTTGCATATGTAATCATCATTGTTAAAGTCTGTCAAAGGAAAGAAAATTAATTCAAAGTGACAAAAGTCAGCATTTTACATGGTTGACTGCCAAGACCTAATAGGAAGGGTTTGGTTCCCAGGCCACAATGTGTTTATGGAAGTAGAACTTTCAAATCAGAAATGAAGTTTCCTGTATTTGCTTTATTAAAATTCAGTAACAAAATAAAAATCCTGGAATAATTTCTCCTTATCGTGCAGAAGGGTAACAATTGTAAATAGTTTAACAGCTAAACATAGCCTAGCCATAATTAAATCATTCTAGTGACTCAGTGCCACTGAATGAAATGCAAGAAATAGTATGAAGTTAGAGGAAGAGAATGGACTGTTCAGTTTTGGTGGGAGTTGGCTTTTTTTAACATCTCCACTGAATCAGGTACAGTTTAAATTAAAAAAAAAAAAGAAGGTTTGTTTGATATATCATTGGGATTTATCTGTTCATAAATAAAGTAACTGAAAGTTGTACGGTTTAAAAAAAAAAAAAAATCTTCAAATTTATCCTTGGAGAAAAATGCTAGAAGTGTTCTTCCCTGCCTCCACCCCTCCCTGCTGAAACCACCCCACAGATTTATGGGCAGCCAAATCCCTTGTGCTGCCCTTTCCCCAGCAGCCCCTCGGACAGAAGTATTCCTTAAATGTTTATCAGCTCTTGAAAACCACAGATAATTTCAGGTTGTAAATTCTGTAGTAAATCCTAATCACAAATAAATAAGAGACTAAAGGATAAAGAAGACCAGAAGTTTCTAGGAGAGAGAACAGACATTCAAAAGCAATGAAAAGAAAGGCTGCATTAAAAACATACCTAACTAGAAATCATTATGATGACAAGATGGATATTTTGAATCCCTACTGCTGCAGGATTTCCCCAAAGTTTACATTTTATGCGTGTCTCACTCACCATAAATTTTAAAAGCATAATAAGCTTTCAGGTCTCTGGGAGCCATTTCACTCAGAACTGAAAACATATCCAAAAAATCATCTAAAGTCATGTTGCCATCTCCGTTTTCTGAGAAAACCTCTGCTATCCTCTGGCGGAATGGATTGTCCTGGGAAACAGAACACGGGAGCAAGGGAAGGTCAACCTTACTAGCATTTATTTCAGTGGAGATAAGACACAATTGGAGCAATCTTGGTTTTGCTGCAACCCCTTTTTGGCAAATATTCCCCTTTCTGCTATTCTGTTCTTGTCTAATGTTATCAGTAGTAGACACAGCTGCAGCCTCCTTCAACCTTTGGGTAATTTCAAGGTGTTTTCAGGGAATCACTAGAAGCTTCCAGAAAGACTTTTGACTTCGCTAGCCAAAATTTATTTTTATTTCAGCCTTCCAGCAATTAGTGCTGGATGAATTATTAAAAAAGGGTAGATTGAAACGTGTCACTCGATTCTAGGTGTGTACCTTCAGCTCTGGCATGCTGCCAATGAGTTGATAGGGAAGCGTCACGTCTGGTTTATCTGTGTAGTCGGGTGGAACAAGCTGTGGGGCCAGATCCCGGTATCTGTAAAACAATCTGAAAGGGAAAGAAAGGCTTGTTTGGGGAACAAGTTATTTAGACCACCGAGAATGGTGTGTTTGCCTTTTCCATATCATTCTTCACACTTTGCATCCTTTACCAGACGGATGATCCCGGTCACTAAATGACATTTAGCATGCCCTGGAGTTGGTGGTGGAAGAGATGGTGTTAAAGAGAGCAACACTGTGTAACTGGTGATAAATACAAAGCCTTCACACTCACAGGACAAGTAGGTGAAAATGCTTACAAAGGTCAGGCGGCCAAACCACTAGATACCATGTAACTGAAAACTGATTTTTAAAGTTTGATTTACTTGTCCTTTGCCAGCAGCTGTGTGCTGGTGGGTTCTGTGGTTAGGATGTGTGTGTGTGTATGGTAACAAGGCACAAAACCTTCAACGTGAAGGGCCACTTGATCTGTTTCCAAACACACAAAAAACTTACGGCAAGGCAAAAGGGATCCGTTTTCCAAGTCCACAATGAATGTGACCAAAAATAATGGGCTTCAACTGGAGCATGAAAGATTCAGTTTAAATGTCAGGAAAAAAAAAAACCAACTGAATGCCTAAAGCCATGGGCAGGAAGAGAGAGCTGGGACCAACACTAGCAGGTTTCTATCCACTCAAAGTATTTTCCTGTTTTACCACAGAACTCAGGTTCAATAAAATGTGCATAATAATTTGAATGCATTCTTCACTTTTTGCTACAGTTCTTGTGCTAGACTTAAGGATCCCATTCACAGCTGTTATCAACAAAACAATAGGACAGAATTTGAAGAGGGATCCTTATCAATAATAAATGTCTTATTCATGACACAGTTATGGTTCTGGCCTCTATTTACTACGTCAAAAGCGGACGGGTTTAGATTTCAATTATTACAGAACCATTCATATTTTATCCTGTATAGAATCCATATCAAGGGTCTAAAGGGGGACACGCTCTGTATAAAATTGTCACTTGTGCTCTGCCCTTCAGACAAATTAGCAAATAATGTGTGATGCTGTCTTGAGAGATGCAGAAACTGAACACTTCCCTTTCTGTTAGTACGCCCAGGAAGGGCAAATGCAACTTCAATATTCTGTACGTGACTATATGGGTAAATAGTTTTATAAGAGGAGAACAAGTTCAGGTTTTCAGTGAAGACTCTCAGTCCTACACGAACAGAACACTGAACCTGTCTTCATCAGATCCTCTGGCCAGAGATTAAATGGAATGTTCAATGACTGCATGAAGGCTTTGGGAAAAATCCACCTTAGAGTATAATTATTTACAAGAAGTCATGAAGAAAATGTGACACAGTTGTTAAGGTTTTAATAAATGAGGCAAAGTATTTCGTAGCAGTATACTTCGAAGCATCTGTCATAAAACAAGGGGACAGGGACGTGGATGTCACTGGCAAATTAGGCACTTGTCACATTTATTTCTGATAAATAAAGAGAGACTGGAACCTTAATACAAAATTCAGAATTCTGGCTCAGTTTAGGCAGATAACACAGGGTTTGTACATAAAAAAAGCAACAAAAAGGTTCAGATTGCCCTAACGTATCACTTTAAATGGCAGTAAATCCATTTTAAAATTATTTTTAAAATACCTCACCCTATATGTAACCTGTCTCTACAGCAATCTCTGTGCTTTACCCACAAAATATACAAGACTCACCTCAGAATTTCTTTCCTTGTAAAGAATGTGCAGTCCTATGAAATAAGAAAAGATATAACATGTCATGGCAATTTTTAGCATGCATTGGCCCAAACTTTTCCTGTCCAGTGATTCAAATGAAGTTATATTGTAATATATGTGGCCAAGAGTTAAAGCTCTTTCCTTCTGACATACAGTTAGGAGTATTTTATAACCCTTCTTCGCAGTGTAAGAATCAAACTATGTTACTAAAAGCTTTGTTTGTAATTTAGTACTCCTTAATTTTTTTTAAGAGATTGTTTTTAAAAAAGCCCTCGACATTATTCAAAGTTCTGTCCAAACAGCCATTTAGTTTGTTTTATACCTGATATGCATCCAGTTGCTCTGGAGTGAAAATGGTTTGCTTGTTGCCCATTTCTGGGTCTGAATGCTGATTATTGTCCCGTCATTCTTTCCTCAAAGGCACCTTTATAGGAGGTCTGGATGTTCCGTTATTAAAAGCTGTAACAATGAGGTTCAGGTATAGCAGAGGATCAAGTAACCAGCTTCCCTATTCCACCGGCTGCAACGTATCATAATAGGAGCATTTCATCAAATCTTTAGTCCAGGTGCTTCAGGCTCTTACCCAGCATCATTCACCTGTCTCCTGTGTGCAGGACAGACTCGTGTTACAGTATTTAGCCAAACAACTAACGGCTTCTTGTCTTTGAAGCAGCAGTTAGACTTCATGGATCGTATCTTTTCATTCCTTCAGATATGGTGAGTTAACTGACAAGCGTTAGCAATGCCTCTCTTTAAGAATTAACACCAAATGCTTGAAATTAGTAGCAGTGGTAGTAACCTCTTGTCCTTTTCTTCTCACTAATGCTAATGGCAGTTTGTACTGGAGGTAGTATCTAGAAAATCTGCTCACATTATGCTGCATTATCTGCTGTTATACAATAATTAGTGTGCCATGATACATGTGTGGCCTTTACACTGAAAATACGTGTCTATAGTTCGTACATGTGGACAGAGACGTGATGTCACAGGCTGTATGAAATACGAAAAAGAAGGGTCGAAGGAGGAACTGGCTGCCCAACTACAGCCTGTGGCAGGCTGACTTATTCACTCGCTCACGGGCAGGTTGTAAAATCTCCCGCTTCTTGGCGATTCCCGTCGCCCGGCTGGGTGGGCCCCGCTGTCCTGCGGAAAATCGGTTCCCCTCGGCGAAGGAACGCCAGGCTCGCTCCCCCGCGCGCCTTCAGAGAACCGAAAAGGACTCCGAACGGCTCACTCCGGCGCGGCAGGAGGCGGGGGGGGCGCCTGGGAGCGGTTTTTCCCGGCGCAGCCCGGAGCGCTGGCCTTTCCCCCCGGGCGCCGGCCGCCTCCCGCCGATTCGCCTCGGGACGCCCC